GCACAGACATCGCCAAAGACATGCAAATTGAAGCGCTTATTGATATGTCGTTTTCGTGTCAACAATACATCCGATGGGACTGTAAGGGAGCGATGTTTGGCTTTTGGTACGCCCGGGATATTGACAACTGGTGGGTGGGAAGGGGTTGGAAGAATCAATACTATTGGGGCGGCGCTGAGACTGACTCAAAAAGTTGCGGCTGTTTTCCTTACTGTTACCTCACTGTCCGCAACTCCACCTGCAATTGTGACGCTAACCTAAAACTTCAATGGCTCGAAGATTCTGGTCTGTTGTTGGACAGGAGTAGACTACCAGTGCTTCAGCTCAGGTTTGGTGACACTGGCGAGTCTTACGAAGCGGGTCAATACACGTTGGGTCCATTGATATGCAGAGCCCGCGGACACAAACTCGTCGAAATGGGTTCATTCAAAGCTCCCGTTACTATTGAATCTCCTGGTTATCCCAATGTCTATCCGCCGGCGTTTCACCGCTACGTATGGCATATAAACATAGCTGAGGGACAAATCATTGAATTAGTATTTCCCTATTACGATGTCATACACTACGGGGCCTATAATTCAGTGCCAAACTGTCGGTCTGTTGTCGATATTGATATCAAAAACTCGAGCGGAGCTATAATAGGAAGTGTTAAACGAGAAAAGGCTTCTCCGCCTTATTTCATATCGGATGGAAAAGCGGTGACAATAGACATGACATTCACCACTTGTAACCAACAAAAAGAAGTGGAAAAGAAAGGTTTCGTTGAAATAGAAAATACTTTTTGTTGAAAACCTAATGTATATATTAGTGTAACAATGAATTTAGGATTTGTGGCTGAATTCCGGAAGACTGCGTGCGGAGGATGTAATGTAGGCTTCGGTGAGAACGCGAGTGTCACTCACTGTCACGTTAAGCCCAACCAATGTATTACTATCTCGTCGTTTGGGTATCCGTTTCCTCATTATATTTACGGCAAATTCGGTGAGAAATACAGCCATTCGTGGAATCTGTCGACTCTTGACGAGCATATCATTCAAATTGAATTCAATGACTTCGACATTATCTTCACTCCGGGTATACATTACTGTAACGCAGACTTATTATCAGTATTTGACGTACACTTAAATGAGACAATAAAAACGGCCACTTATTGTAATATAAATAAGTTTAATATCGGAAAACTTCAGTCAAATAACAGTCAAGTGGTACTGGAATTGAATACAACGTTGAAAAAAGTTGGAAACAGCAGAGGATTTCACGCAACGGTTAGGGCTCTGCCGAAGACTAACACACTTAACAAATGGATCAATAATATAGCCGAAGGAAAGTCTGCGGACCAGAGCTCTACCAGAAGCGGATTGGAAGCGGCTCTGGCTGTGGACGGAAATGTGGAGCGAAAACAGCACACGAAGTGTACGGCCACTAACTATGAACGGGAGCCGTGGTGGAGGGTTAACCTCCAGAAGCGACATCGCATATATGGAGTACAGATCAATACAGCCGATGTCACCGCACAGACCGAACACCTCCAGTGGCCGACCGGACAGTACGGCCTACCGATGCCAGTGTCGGGCTGTCCCTCATCTGTGGACTCTCGATGGCAAACTGGCTATCGGTTCCATGACGTGCGTCACGAGCCCGTACAGGACGACCGGTTCAGGTATTGGTCGCAAGGGATTATGCTTAAGGGCGGCGCCACTGATGGCGGCATTGTTCAGCACTTTTGCGTCAGAAATGGTAAACCCAACGAGAAGTCTGTTCCCAATGCAAACAACTTTGGATGGATGCCCGGCAAGTACTGTATCTTTCAAGTGTCCGACTCGTGTCCCGAAGGATTCACTTCCGGTTCAATCGCGTGGTTTGATAAAAGCAACGCCACTCTGCCCTCAGAAAGTAGAAATCACGTCAACGGTTCCCTTCCTAAAGGTTTATATTTATATAAATTTTGTTAAAATTTGGTAAAATTTATTTTACTATTATTTTAGGTATTTATACGAAACAAAACACAACTATATTTTATTGTTGTCGAGAAGACGGCAATCCAGACGTATCTATAAAACTGCCGAAAGACCGACCGTTTTATCTCTTACAATACGGCGATGAATGTCAGAAAGTGGAGGGAATGCTAGAAATTGAGCACTTCTTCCATTACGAAGAAGAAGTACAGCTCTCGGGAATCAGTTTGGAGTTGATTTTCATAAGCGGCACAAATCAACTCAAGTTTCACGACCCGCACCCTCGCGTTGATATCGCACTCTTCGAGAAAGGACTGACTCTTCACTATTGCTATTACGATGTCTCGGATCAACTCAAAGGGTTTCAAGTGTTGGTCGACACGACGCCCGACACGTTTGGCTTCAGTCGCTTCTACGATGAGATCACCGGTATATCGAGACCAGTGGACAAACCCTTCTTGAGTGCCGTGGAGTGCGCCTCCTTTGATGTGACCGCCAGTGACTCCGAAGTGATTACTCTGAACTGTAAGCAACCGATTGAAGGCCAGTATGTGGTGATCTTCATGAAAGATCGATTCGATTCGTTGAGATTATGCGAAGTGAAAGTGTTTGGCGAGGAGTCGTGCGGACGGCCATTAGGTATGGCCACCGAAGAGATACTGGACTCAGCCATAAGCGCGTCCACTACTGATGGCCAGGGATTCATTCACCATAGCGTCAACGCCCGACTCAATAGTGCCAAAGCCTGGTGTGCGGCCATCACTGACCCACACAAGTATATTCAGGTCTGAAAACTTTTTTGTTTATGATTATTGAAATTATTGTGAATTCTGTATTTTATTATTTCTATTAAAAGATTGATTTACTTTACGGAGAGAATCAACAAATTCACGGAAATATGCAAATGAAGTCTCCATTTCCTGTCAGCGATTACGTGACTGTTGTGGGCATTGCTATGCAAGGAATGGTCAATGCGTTCAAGAGTTCATTTGTCACACAATTTCAACTACTCTTCAGTAATGACACCAAGAAGTGGACCTTTGAAGAAGAGCCCATCGGCCGGCAAAAGGTCTATAAATGTGTTCAATGCGACTCTCAAAGCATAGACGGCAATGACATTGTTATGTATAATTTACTCAAACCAATACTCGCCCGATATGTGAGAGTGAAGGTATTGAACTTCAAAATAGCCCCATGTCTTCGGCTGGAAGTGATCGGTTGCAGAGATCTATCGAGTGAGACACAAATCCAGAATTGAAAATAATGGTGTAATTAATATAATTATTTGTCATCAACAGAACCATGCGTTACAACTCTAACAGAGCCATCGGGGGTAATATTCTCACCCAACTATCCCTTTTATTACGCCCAATACAAGTCGTGCTGGTGGCACATCAATCCCGGCCCAAACAAACATGTTGAGTTAGACTTTGTTGTCATGGATTTGGCCACAAAGGATAAAAGCAGTGGAAAGTATTGGCTTAAGCTTTTTTCCTCCCATTTTTGTATTTTTCTTACACTTAAATTGATTATTATTTCCTACAAATGATTAGATGTCACGACTCTCTCACTATATATCACCCGAAAGAGACGATAATTGATGCGAACAGTCGTCCCTCTTCTGCCCTTTCAGTCAAATCAAGACTCTATCCGAAGAAAATCGTGTCAAACGGCACTATAAGTGTGCATTTGAAGACTTGTTTCAGGTTTTCCATCAGTAGATTCCAAGGCTTTTACGCAAACTATAAGATGAGTTCGTGTCCCGGATGTGGTATCGGTGACTCTTTTTGCTCCAAACTTCATACTTGTTCCTCAAATTGTGGCCAAATATTATCCATCAATTATCCGCTAAACTACCTCAACAATCACAGGTGTCAATGGCTTATAACAGCCCCACAAGAATATTATGTGAATATAACAGTCGAAGACTTTGATGTGCCGAACACGTCAATGGGCTCCACGTCTACCGATTGTGTCTTTGATTACATCTCATTTACAGACGTCTTCACGGGTCAACTCATTGGGAGGTTTTGTAACTCAAAAAAGCCCCCAAAATATATACTTTCCAATTGGAATAAATTATTGATAGAGTTTAATACGGACTCAACGCTATCGGGGCGTGGATTCAGTCTGACATATGTGGCACAAAAATATCAATTAAATGATAAATTAGCGCAACAAATGATTGGTCCGGAGGGCGCCTGTCCTCCAAACTGGTCCTTCTTTCGAGGATATTGTTATAATGCGTTCTTCGAGAAGGAATCGCTTCAATGGTAACACTTAATGACAACTGAATGTTGGGATTCTTACAATAGAAACTAATTTTTAGGTATCAGTCGGAAGAGAAATGCGCTCAGTTTGAGAAGGGAAGAGATGGACATTTAGTTAGCATAACGGATGTACAAGAGATGCAAGTCGTCCACTACTTGTTAATTAATACGTGGAAAGTAAGTCCCCATCAAAGCATTTATATTGGTTTAATCGACACCAATAGAGAGGGTTTTTATAACTGGAGTGACGGAAATCCCATGAGTTATACCGACTGGTCGTATGGTATAGAAGACGGAGAGATATCGGCGTCACAGCCGGACGGCGGGGCTTTCGAGGACTGCACTGTCATTAAGATCGACTCGAGTCACTCGACGGCCAACTGGCACGACATTCCCTGCTCTTTAGGCAAACGGACATCACTTAAATCGCTTAACTCTCAACCAATTAATGTCACAAAAACACTGTCCGATGTAATCAGTAGTTATATCTGTAAAATGGATTCGAGTTATTCCACACAACAGTTCCGACTTCGAGAGCCATTGTTTACAAACGTAATCACCGAAGACGAGGAGGAGATCTATAGACGTGTTGACGACAATCGATATTTTGTGTGCGAAAACTTAGAGGTCATCTCTAATTTGTTTAAATGTGACGGAACTCCTAACTGCAGGTCCGACTCAACTATAGTTTCAAATTTTAAATACAGTCAAACCATTAATACATACCATTAATAATACAAATTTAGAGATGGAAGCGATGAGGCGTTTGGTTGCGATACAACTGGAAACTCATGCCTTGAATCCCAATTCAGATGTGCAAACGGCCGGTGCATTGCTATAGGAATGGTAGGAATTAAATTTATTTATTGCCATATTTGTTGTCTAATTGAATAAAATGACACAATTTTAATGAATGAAAAGTATTGCGATTTTGTGGACGATTGCGGCGATGGAAGCGATGAAATTCTGTGCGAAAGACGTCAGTGTAAGAAGACGTCGGAATTCCGGTGTAATAACGATCAGTGCATACCTCTGTCCAAACGGTGCAATTTGCTCACCGACTGCAAGGACTTGAGCGACGAGGGGTTCGCCTGCACTCTGATCGCCACCCCTTGCAATCCCAAAGGAGATCTATAGACGTGTTGACGACAATCGATATTTTGTGTGCGAAAACTTAGAGGTCATCTCTAATTTGTTTAAATGTGACGGAACTCCTAACTGCAGGTCCGACTCAACTATAGTTTCAAATTTAAAATACAATCTAACCATTAATACAGTACATACCATTAATATATAACCATTAATAATACAAATTTAGAGATGGAAGCGATGAGGCGTTTGGTTGCGATACGACTGGAAATTCATGCCTTGAATCCCAATTCAGATGTGCAAACGGCCGATGCATTGCTATAGGAATGGTTAGAATTAAATTTATTAATTGCCATATTTGTTGTCTAATTGAATAAAATTACTTGATTTTAATAATTGAAAAGTATTGCGATTTTGTGGACGATTGCGGCGATGGAAGCGATGAAATTCTGTGCGAAAGACGTCAGTGTAAGAAGACATCGGAATTCCGGTGTAATAACGATCAGTGCATACCTCTGTCCAAACGGTGCAATTTGCTCACCGACTGCAAGGACTTGAGCGACGAGGGGTTCGCCTGCACTCTGATCGCCACCCCTTGCAATCCCAACACAACGTTTCAGTGCTATTACGGCAATTGTATTCCATTGCACGCACTGTGCGATCGGCACAGAGACTGTCCGGGAAAGTTTCACGAAGACGAACAGGCGTCCAGATGTCAGGCCATTAGTGACGCCAATGGTCTCCAGAAGCGATCCATTTATGACTCCTCCTCTCAATTGTGGCACAAACAGCGCTTTCAGGAACAGGTGTTCAACGTATGGCTCCGGAATGAGAGGAGTGCCTGTCTGTCCACCAAACGACGAAACTGTCGAGTCAGTCACACCTTTTTTATCTACTTTTTGTTTAGTTATTAAAAACGATTTTATTGTTGATAGGATTTGGAAGTATTTGAAAACATTCAGACAAATGGCACTTATTTTATAGAACCCGAGGACTCGTCTTCGATAGGTATGACAGTCGAGTGTCAGTTCAAACCCGACGGCGCGAAGACTATTATACACCACGACTCTGAGGCCAAACTGTATGTCCGAAGCGATATCGAAATTTTATAGAACCCGAGGACTCGTCTTCGATAGGTATGACAGTCGAGTGTCAGTTCAAACCCGACGGCGCGAAGACTATTATACACCACGACTCTGAGGCCAAACTGTATGTCCGAAGCGATATCGACGGACCCGCGACTTATTGGCGTACAATTAGCTATGAATACAGTCTCGAGTCAATTGTCGCTCTCATTAATAGTTCCAACTCTTGTAAGCAATACATCAGTTGGCAGTGCTCTGGCACTGGATTTCGCTTTAACTCCACTAAACCCGTCTCCTATTGGTTCTCCAGACAAGGTATGCATCAAAATGTTTATACAATAAGTTTATATTATAATTAATTTGATTGCACTGAAGGTGTGCCTCAATATTCATGGGGCGGCGCCGCCGTCGGTAAATGCAGTTGTTATCCAAACTGTTATCAATCAAACCTAACCTGTAATTGCGATTCTGAGATCAAATTTCAATGGTTAGACGATTCCGGGTATATCACCGATAAAAGCAAACTTCCCGTCACTAGAGTTGTATTTGGAGAGACGTATAAATTGGGTCAATCCGGCTATTTCTATGTCGGACCCCTCGAGTGCGAGGGAAGTGCCAAAAATGTTTACACTAAAGACTCGTGTCGAGTGCGGACGGGAAACGTACCCGACTTCAAGTGCCAATCGGGACAAACGAACAATCCGGCTATTTCTATGTCGGACCCCTCGAGTGCGAGGGAAGTGCCAAAAATGTTTACACTAAAGACTCGTGTCGAGTGCGGACGGGAAACGTACCCGACTTCAAGTGCCAATCGGGACAAACGATTGCTCAGAAATATAAATGCATTTATGAATTCGATCAGTTGGGGTATCAGATCGGCTGCAGAGATGTCTCCCATTTGAGAGATTGCGAGTCTTATCAGTGCCCCGCAGACTATGTCAAGTGCACCGACTCTTATTGTATTCCTCCCCGTTATATATGCAATGGTACGACATTTCAGCCATTTTTGCCATTAGTTTAACATTTAGATTGTTTTCAGGTAAATGGGATTGTGTGGGCGGGTCTGATGAGGTCGGTTGCGCTCGTTATATGTGTCCGGGTCAGTACAAGTGCGCCAATGAGAGCTCGTGTGTACTTTTACACCAACTGTGCGATGGTATCCGTCACTGTCCTCTCGGCGACGATGAATGGTTCTGTGAGCTCACGTGTCCGGACAACTGCACCTGCATTGGGCTGTATGTCGACTGCAGGAACGCTAATCTAACTCGACTTCCCATCGAATTCATCCCAAAAGAGACCCGAAAGCTAGAGCTGACTAATAATGGTTTGGGTCCCTCTCTGGCGTACGCGGACTTTAGCTTCTTCGGTGACTTAGGAGAGCTGATACTACAGAGCAATGGCTTAGAAGTGATTAAATCGCGTAAATTCTTGCAATTGACAAATCTTTATAAATTAGATCTGAGATTCAATAACATAAAAGTGTTAGAATCGGCCGCTTTTGCCGGTCTTAAGCGAGTGACTAATCTTCTATTGGAGGAAAACCCGAATCTGTCGG